CCCCCCCCCCCCCCCCCCCCCCTCCCGATTCAACACACCTGTCCCGCCCAAGTCCGCGTACCTGAAATAGGACGAAGGATCTTCGAGCTCCTTGCCCACAAGCCGGGGAGACCACCTTATGCCGTGTTGCCTCTAACCAGCCCGAAGTCCAGAGCTCCATCATATCCTTTGCGATGTCAGTGAGGGCAGGCAACAGGGATCATGAACTCTGACCAGCCCAACAAAGGTATCTCGGTCCCGCGACTAGAAGAATGCCCCTAGCAGTCAACAAAGGCATGTGCGTGCTCAATTCGTTATGGTTCACGCAAAACTCAGCCGGCCGAACCTCGCCAGATTTGGAACACTGGCTCGGAAGCGGTGCTGCAAAGTGGCACTTACCCCAAGAATGACGGTGAGGGTATCGTGTCGGAACGGCAATTTGTACCACCGGGGTGAAGGCCCTCTTGACGGAGAGTGGAGGTGAAGTCCCGCCGTTTCCTGGTGCATGATTGTGAAGACTTCAAAATCGGTGTGCTCCGAGATGCCCACGTCTACGGGTGTGGTCACCTTGGCGGGAAGATAAGGACAGAAGCGAGTGCATGTTTTGAGATGCGTAGATCTCACCTATTGTTGAGTGCACGACTGTGTGTATAACAGCAAAATGTCACTCCACGGTGAACATGAGCTCGTTGCCACACCAGCAGGCTCTGTGTGACTTGCGGGAAATGTAATCCCTCGTGTTCGAAAAATGAGAGAGGTGACGTGAACTCACCGTGGATCCGCTCGATCATTGTAAGATAAACCTTCGCAAGAGCTATGGCGAAGATCGTGCAAATGGGTATTTGTTTTACCCATGCGACAATCTGCAAAAGATCGGCAAGGGTCTTTCTATGGCTTTGGTCCGAAATTTTGTCGGTCTTTTGCTAAGGATTTTCGCGGGCTGATGTATCCTTTTTCACCATGATATTTCCTGCCGTATCGCACCTTCTAGTTTCAAGGCGTGCTTGACCGTAAGACCGAACCCAGAAAATCGAAAGAACAGCAATCAGGCTACATTTGTGCCGGACTCTTTCCTCTAGAGTTAACTCAGCGGCAAAAACCGTAGCTCAATCTGATGCTGCAGTTCACGTCCAGCTTTAGACTCTAGATTTGATTGCTGTCGGCAAATGGAATTCGTGCACAGCTTTCGCAGGGCTGCCGTGGCTTTTGATTCCATCCCTGTGCACGTAGGAATGACACACAAGGTTTCTACGCTCTTGAGGCATGTGATTCGCTGCGAAACTCGGCTGCCATGCACTCGTGAATGGTTCGAAAAACAACCGCCGAACAATGAGACGTGTTCACATCGCTGGACTTCAGCTCTGCCCACACCGAGATGGACGTACATATGAGAGTCCAGAGGGAGCGTAACCGCAAGCGAAAAAAAAGTTGGGGGGCTACGAAACATTCGATATTCCAAGGTGAAGCCCCAGTCAGGCGACGGTTTGCCAGAACCGTTGCTGCACAAACCCACTTATTTCTTCACAACGTTCTGCGAAAGGCTTACTTCACAAACCCACTTACTTCTTCACAACGTTCTGCGAAAGATTTCTGCTACAAGATACCGCATGATTAGAGGTGCCCTTTGCGCGCAAGGACGGACGTCAAGCGTTGCCCAAGCAAGCTCGACAATAGTCGTGGGTTCACATCGGGTTCGGTATGTAGGAATCTGTGCCATAGTGCGGTGTACTCATATGCCTAAAATGCATCGATGTGGGGCAGGAAATTCGGCATGAGAATATGGCCAAGACAGCCGACATAGACGGTACCGATGAACACGCCTGACTCACCCCATTCCGTTCGCTGCGACGTCGCTTCGGTTTGTTTTCGGCCGGCCGAGCTGGACTGGTGTGCTGGACATCGCGAGCAGGATAGCGGAGGGTCCTGAGAAGCGACATGTTGAGACTGTCGGTCTCTGCACTTTTGAGCAACAAAAAACCTGCAAACCAAACGACGGCGACGTGCATTTGTTTCGACTACGTTCTTACAAGCACTCAAGCATGCTTCCTGAGTAGTCTAACGGATTAGCCTTATCGATCAAACCACGTGAAAGCGGGTTCGATTCGACGCTACGGCATTATTGGGGTCCACCCAGGACTGTTCCAGCAGTGCATGGCGAGGTCCGGCCCCGGAGAACAACACCGTATGTAGCTGGGAGGGTCAACGAGCCCAAGGCACATTTCGGTAGGCGCTGATTGAGTGGTATAATTGAGTAGGCTGTGCCCACCATCCTCTGCCAGGCGGTGCACTCCTCAGCCGTGTGTCGAGCAACTGCGCCTCACCGCTAGGAAGACAGAGCATGTGCTCCAGCGCGCGCATCATCGGGAGAGAAACTCTTTGCCGAAGAACCTCCCACAAAGATGAGTACGCCTCACCGAAGCCTGGGACTTGAGAGTCAGGAAACAGGGACTTGTGTAACTGTTCGAGGAAGGGATAGTCAGAAAAGGGGCAGCGTCAGCACAATTGCGGTCTATGCACTGCTTCTTCCAATGAAGACATGACGCACACCTTACGTGGTAGAGGACAATGTAAACATCCTACCCCGTCTTTCATTGTTCATCCTGTATCAAGCATTCCCCTAAAAAGTATCTGTGGTGCCCAGCCAGCGTGGCTCGTACCGAGGATACTGTCGAAAAGACAACTACCTGGTTTCGTGCCGTCTATGTTGGTGATGCAGGAACAGCGTGTAGGGACATATTGCGTTCGTTATGTACTTCCGACAACAGGTTGCGGGTTTCACACAACTACAAGCCAGCCGTGACGTCAGACAAGATCCAGGCAAACCGCAAAAAGATTACATCGAACAAATCGACCAGTGAAGCACACTCTACACACGGCGGTGAATGTTGCAAGCTATTGTGTGCTCTTAGCGACGTTTCACAGCATCTACCGTTCGTGGGGGCCCATCGGCCGTCACGCGGGTATGTTCGTTCACGCTCTGGTCACCTCAGGTCCACGGGGCAGATGGTTGCACAAAGCGTGGGCTAGCGGCCGTGTGCAGCTGAAGCTTTCCACGTGCTGCTTCTCGCCTTCCTGATACGCCGGTTCCTTACCCTGGGAGCAAGAAAAAGGGACAGAGGCAAGCGCCAGAAGTGAATGATGACGGCAAAAAAACACTTGCTTGATTACAGCTCTACAGAAGGTACTATCGCCGGCACAAATGGAAAAAAGATTCGGTTTCATAACTGGCTACCGTACGTAAAGTGAACTTTTCTACTACATAGTGTTTTCTCGATGGCACAAAACGCACTTGTTGTCCAGTGGATCGCTGCAGGTCTGAAACGGAGGCATGTGTTTCGCAATGTTTCCTGGGGCTCACACCGATCAGACTGTCAACCACAGGACTTGGAGGGGGTTGGGTAAAAAAACACCTACCAAAGACAATGACGTAAGAAAGACGGGGGCAAGGGGGCAGCGAGACGGCCTCGACATTTACAGACAGAACAACCGGGTTGGTTCTCGGATGCGTTCTGGGCTGCAACAATTCTTGCCATCTAGGACCGTGACCCACTGTTGAACTTCTTGAATGTGACGGTCACGCTCAGTCCGACCCTATCGATGTCTGACGGTGCAGCTTCCCTCACCAGAGGAGTGTAGCATGAACCACCGTACCCTTGTCTTGAGGCGGCGTCTTCGGTGTAGACTGCCTTCGACGCCTGGTTTTTGCGAGGCCGTGCGTGCGTCCATCCCAGGATTGTCAAAGAGAGGTCGAAGACAGTTCCGGCACGGTACCAACTCGTGGAGCGCCGTGCAGATTTGCTGACAATGAACACTTGCATGCTCATGATGCCACCGGCCTCTCCGGTGTCCTTGGCTTCGTGCAAGGAGCGCCTTTGTTGCTGATGTTGATGTTGTTGTTGTTGTTGTCTTCACATTAATAACCGTTCCGTTCTTTCTACCCAGTACCTTCTTCTGTCCGTACTAGCGTAACACGTTACGCGGTCGATTCCCGTGGTCACAGGCTAACGTAGGAGGGTCCGCAAATCGCTAGAAATCAACGACAGGTAGTGTAGGACCCTCCACTCCCCTCTTCACGCTATGCGAGGTAACCATAGACTGGAAGAAAGCAAGAAAAAGAAATAGGAAAAACAGGACAAAGCAGAGGGAGACAAAGAGAAAGACACGAAGAAGGACACACGCCAGATCCACTACCGTAGCGACAAACAAACAACACAAGACAACACCAAAAAAGGTCACCAGAGAAAGCAAAGGCACGTCATCTCTCGTGGGGGGTTGGTGCAATGGTGCAGTGACGCGGGCGGGATAAGTCAATCAAGGGATTCAATCCGGCACAGCATCTCGCCCAACTCGTTCCGCCTCGTTGCCTGTCGTTCCTCGTTGTCTCGTCCGCCTGCTGCACCCCTCCCGCCCCAGTGGTTGTTGCGGTGTCAGTCGTGTTGCTAGGTTTGTTTCCATTGAGCACTCGTTGTAGGCTATTCTCCTCTTCATCCTTGTGCCAGATGGTCATGAACCTCTAGCTCCCTGCAGTACCCCCGAAGCTACTAGCTGTGCATCCCGCTCCATCTTCGCTGCTTCCGTCCAAGTTGTTGTTGGCTCGGTGTCCATAGATCCGTGCTCTGCCTCGAATATCTTGAGGTCGTCCTTCAGGCACATGTGCCAGTTTTGCTCCGGTTTCCCCCTGCCAGGGCCCTCCTCCCCCACTAGCTCGCCAATCAATCGTTTCGGGAGTCGCCCATCTGGATGCCTTCCAAATGCTCCCGCGCACAGCAGGCGCCGATGCCGAGCAGTGGTTTCCACGCTCTGGCACCCTACCCTCTTCGGGGCCTGGGCGTAGGAAAGTTGCCGATAGGTGCCCTTCTTGCGTTGGTAACCGACAACTCGCAGGAGCAGCCGATGATGTATCGACCGCAATAGCTGGTCGTGCTCGCGACGTGGGGCCCACGTCATTCCGCCGTACAGCAGTGCCTCCGTCGCCTCCGCCTGGAACACGCGAGTCTTGAGTCGGATCGATGCTCTCGGCCTGTGGAAGAGCTCCCGGGCATATCTCGTGACGCATGCCCACGCCGTTCTGCTCCGGTAATTGATCTCCCGGGTGAGGTTGCCACGTTCGTTGACGAGGCCACCTAGGTACCGGAAGTCAGCCGTCTGGGCGTACCTCTGCCCTGCTTCCTGGATGGTTAGCGGTGGCGGCGGGGGGAGCGGTGGTGTTGGCTGCCTCTCCTTGACGCGCATCAGAAACGTCTCCGCCTTATTCCCCGATACCGTCAGCCCGAACTACCCGAACACTTCCCACGACGATGGTCATCATTCTCGCCAGTCCGTCGGTGGACTTCTATCCAACGCGGGCGTCATCGGCATACAGCATTCCCCACACCGCCTTCCGCATTTGGTCAAGTGGTGTTTGCGGCCCTGCCCCCGTCTCCTCCACCAGGAGCACCAGGTTCCGTAGAATAACATCATCCTCGCTGAATCGATCGACAACGACCTCGAGAGCTGCGGCGAAGAAGATGTTGAACAGCAGTGGGGGCAGCACACACCCTTGTCGTAGGCCTTGTGTAACCCTGAAACAGTCCGAAACCTCTCAGTCGTCCATGAGCACCCGAACTCGCATTCCGTCGTGGAATTGGCGGATGATGGCGATCATGTCCTCGGGAATCCCGGCCCTGGCCAGTACCCTCCACAGCAGCTCTAGGTCCACCAAATCATACGCTTTCTTCAGGTCGACGAAGCACGTGGTATTTCCGTCTCCGCCCCAGCTCCTGGAGTCGGCGTATGACGAACAGCATGTCGACGGTGGATCGACCAGGTCGGAACCCGCACTGTTCCTCCGGGAGGATGTTGTTGGCTTCGCAGAAGGCGCTTAGGCGGTTGGTGAAGATCTTGACGGGGACCTGCCTACGTGAGATAGTAACGTGATCCCCCTGAAAATATGGCAGTTGGACCGGTCACCTTTCTTGTACAACACTTTGATGGCTGCGTCCTTCCACTCTTGGGGGATCTCTACTCAGTTCAACGCCTCAACGAGGATGGCATTGAGGTGCTCCGAGACGATGGGTTCGTCGTCGTCGTCGATCTTTGTCCAACTCGGCAGGGATGGAGTCCCTTTGCCGGGTGCCCGTTCCACCTCCTCGATGTCTGGCACCGCTTCCAACCGTCGAGTGGCACGTGTCGCCGGTCGCTGGGTCACTTTTCGATGATCTCCGGGTTCAGGGTGGGGGACTTGGTGTTGAGGAGGGTGCCCAAGAATCTCGTCCATCGCTGTAGGATGTCGTTCTTTCTGCGGAGCAGCACGCCATGCTCGTCCCCAACGGGCTCCTGTCTTGCCGCTCGTCTCTTATTGAGCCCCACTGATCTCTTGAGGTATTGGCAGAGTCCTGGGAGTGGCTGCAGTAATCGAAACGGGCACATATGCCCACCTGGACAGATATGTCGCGGAACTGGAAGCGATCTACAAGGACCGCGATATGAGAGGACTCTGCCAACACCTCAAGAGATCAGTGGGGCTCAGTGGGAGGCGAGCGGCAAGACAGGAGCTCGTTGGGGACGAGAATGGCGTGCTGCTCCGCAGAAAGAACGACATCCTACAGCGATGGACGAGATTCTTGGGCACGCTCCTCAACACCAAGTCCCCCACCCTGAACCTAGACATCATCGAACAAAGTACCTTTGGAATTCTGAAATAGGTAATTAGCATTCTGAAAATGATACCAGTGTCCCGGTTGAAGATGTTGTACACTTAGTTGCATGGGTGTTCCCTGCAATAATCTCGAAAGAGCCGAGATCAAATACATTTTCTCGCCGCGAAGCCCCCCTCACCTGCCGTGTGCAATCTGTGTTTTGGTTTGTTCGCTTCACGTTGTCCGCTTCTGCAACACATGCAATACACGAGGCGGCCTCTGCGTATTTCATTTTCCAATGCTTGCCAAACACAGTAGAATGTACCACATCGGGACTGCAACACGCGATCCGGCCATCGAAACCACCGTTGGCGAATTGATTGTGTCGTGACGGAGACCCAAACCGCTTACCTCGGGCAGTGAGAAGAAACGCTCCGCCGTGCTGTAGCAACGTCGCAAGAGCGAATCACCATCCTGTCGTATTGCCAATCGAAACGAAAATGGACTGCGGTTGTTTGTGGGTTGTATGAGTTTGAATGCTCAGGTGTGACGTGCACTACATCAGAGGAAAAGAAATAGGCGCTCATTTCGGTGGACAGCAGTGCCAGAAGCACTTGGGATTTCCGTCGAAGGAATGGATGCGCCGTGCCTACGGTCCAAGGTGGCCCCGAACCTGTGCCAGGTTGCACAGAAGGTCTCCAGAAAACAAATGCGAACGCAACAAGTTGAGAAGGAAACGCTCTCCGATGTGAGCTTGTCTGTGAATCTAAAACATCTTCATGCGACATGATTTTGACTGCCGTTCCACGGTAATGGGGGCTTGATTCTGAATCTGAAAGCTTTCGCATTACAGTACTTCGGAACATATCCAGTCCGAAACTATCTTCAGTCGGATTTGGGCTTTATCTGACCTCCGGAACAGCGTCGAGAAAATTTCAGGTCCGTCCTTCGGACCTGTACGGGGTTACCACGCAGAGAACCGCATCGTGAGCGGTTCTCTGTTGTTTTTTTAGGGAAGACAAAAATAATAAACAGCAACAACAAACCTCCTCGATACCGGTACCTAGCGCAAGCTACCCCCGGAAAAGTCGCTGACATGTACAATTATGTGCAGAAGTACACCGGTGACAGCGCCGAATATGGTGGCGTTGGAGCCGTCGCGTCATCTTTCCGACAACGTATTTTCTTGGGTGTTGGCACCCCCTCCGTCGTGGAACACTGGAGGTTTGAAGTTCGTCAAGGGGGTGTAGTATCCTACGCAACCTCCGGCAGCATTAATACCACCATATGCATATAGACCTACAGACGAATTTCCTACGGGTGAGGGCTCACGAGATTGCAGGGAATGCAATGCTGATGCTATCGTGAGCCTAGAGCCCTTTTTTCGCGGCTTCTCCGCCCGTAGATCTCGCCTCGAAGCGAGACTTGCACCTACCGATAGCCCTGTGTTGCGAGGGCCCTCCCGGCGTGTCGCTCGCTCTCGGGGCGGACTGCGTGCAGCGCTAGCGAGGGCCGAAAGTCGCGTCTCCGACATCTATCATGGATCCACCAATCACGCCCAATTTCTTGACAGTGCAGGCCATTCATACATTCTGCAAGCGGCTGACGTGGTGCGTGTGCGCTGGCTACACGCTATACACCTGTATTGCCACACACGACGACCAAGCCACAAAGTTTCCGCATGACAAGAGACGAAGTACTCTATCAACTGTTGCTGAAGTGCGTCTCCCTTCGATCCCGGCGAAAAGCGGAGGGGATAGCGGCCGGTGTCGTGTGTACTGCTGCCTGCAAAACTACGCCCGCCCGAGATAAAAAATAATAACATGAAATACGCGTTGTTGTTCCTCCGTTTCATGGAAAGAAGGTACAGTGCTTTTTTTTTGTTGTTTTGCGGAAAAATGTTCTGGCTACCTACAAGCAGCAGTTTATTGTAGAGCGGCTGACACGCTCCGCATCCCACCAACACATACCGCAAGACACAAACTTTTACAGTCATCTGACGCCCAAAACCCTCTGGCAGAGCATATAAATAACAATACTACTGCTGCTGTGCTTCGCCTTATTCTCAAAGTTGTCTAATTTTCTCTGCTTTTGCTTACACGCAACATGCTGCAATGAACTACCGAAAATGATTTGCGCTGCTTTTACTCGACCCCGATTCTCACCACCCGACGGCTGCACATACGAACACCACGCACCCTATGAAGGAGCAAACTTTATTCAGCTACAACGTCTCGCGGAGGGGGTGGGTAGCACATGGGAGGGGGAAGAGAGAAAAGCTATTTGTTTGGTGTATCTTCCTCAGTCTTACTATTCGACACCCCCTCCCCCACCCCCGTAACCCCTCGTTTCTTACGAATAGTAGAGTTTTTGAGGGGTCGCTCCTCTGTTTTCTTATTGAGGCGTTTCTTCTATATTAATAGTGTTGTTGTTGTTGCTGTTGTTGTTGTCTTCACATTGAAAACCGTTCCGATCTCTCTCTACCCAGTACCTTCGTATGTCCGTACTGATCCAACACTCGACGCGGTCGATTCCCGTGGTCGCAGGCTAACTTACCCTAAAAAGGTACACTCATATAAAATGGCCCCGAGGGGTCCGCAAGTCAATAGAAATCAACGACAGATATTCTGGAGTCCTCCACTCCCTCTGCGCGCTATGCGAGGTAACAAATGAGACTAGGAGTCACCATCACGGGTCGGAAAGAATGAGGTACACCCCCTTGGTTCAATCTTGGTACTTCACAGCGCAAGCAGAGACAAGGCCAGCTGGCACAGAAAAAAGAGAGAAAAAGAGAAGAAAATAAAAGGTAAGGAAAGAGAAAAATAAAATAAAAGAGCGAGGACAAAAAGGGACCAGGCCGAAACAAGAAATAAGAGACAGAAAAAGGCATACGGTGGAGAGACCACTAACGACAAGCAAACACGCAAACATGATCACCAACCAGCGATACATTGTAGTGGTACGTCATCACTAGTGGGGGGGTGGTGCAATGGTGCAGCG